CCATTTTAATAAAACTTAGTACAAAGATGCTCTAGGACATTGTACAAACCTAATTAGTTTGGGGTAAAACTCTGTTCATAATATTTCCCTAATTAGCATAATAATTCATAATTTGTTGGTTCTTATCACATTTCAATTAAACTTGGTACATAGAGTTTTTGTTACATTGCGCAGACCTCATTAGTTTTACAATCAAAACTGTTCATGTTAATTTTCTGATTTGCATAATTAGTTGTCAGCTAAGTAATTTCAAATTGTATTTAATGTGTCTCCAATACTCTCAGCACATGGGAGTTCTTTCTAAGCTTTCTTTGATATTGCTTAATGTTGATCAAAATTGAAATTGAAACAAGGACAAATTTGGTGCATGCATTGAACACAATGGTACCTTAATGATAGTTGTGATAATATTCAAAATGGCCAACTGATGAATGTTTTCTATTCACAAATACAATTCCTGAGCCAAATCTTTGAAATTCCATGACTTATTGTAGTAAAATACGATATGTGTATGTTCCAATTAAGATTTGAAAAGGCCAACCTAGTTCAATTTTGTGTCATCACATGACAAAATTGAAGTGGACAATAGGCAAGGTTTATTTATTGTATAAACAAAAATCATCGATATTGATTGGTCCATCCAAAAATGCAAAATTACATAATGCACATTCTGCGTACAAGTAACAAGTAGCTGATGAACACTTGCCATTTCTTTCACTGACTTGCTAGAATTGTACATTTGTTATTCACTCCAAATAGTTTTCCCAACATATTGTACCAGTTGCACTTACATGGGTAACTGTCTAACTATCCCAAGTTACCAGAATGTGCACTGCCATGGAACACTGACTCACTATAACTTTATATTATTATTACAGGCATTGATACCGATGAATTTGACAGCCATGTTGATGAATGTGATGAAGAAGTTATTGAATTCCTAGTAAAAGAAACCACTGAAATAATTGACGAGTGAAACATATACGACAAAACGCTCACCTAGACCAACTATTTGGGAGAGGGGAGTTGGTCCAGGAACTCACTTGCGGTTTATCCGTTAAGTTTCAAGGAAATAAAAAAAAAATCGTAGTTTATAGTATAGATATATTTGATTGCAGTTTAAGTTTATCTTGTTCTTCTCTTTTATTAATTACTGTAAGTTTTAGTAAATAATCTCGCTTTGATTTCATTTAATAGTCTTTCTTTCAAGCATGTCACTCTTACACAGAACACTGATATCATCAACAGCTGTCGCAAGTCTGGTTCAGTCTCATTCAATTTGTCATCAGCAACCAATCACAGGGTAGTGTTCATATCACTCTTGTTTGACTGCTGCCTGCTTGTTGGTTGACTTGCATATTGAGTTGGACTGTTTTCAACCTTTCCCAGCCGCTGATATTTTTGTGTTTTTTGTGAGTGTTTTGTACATGTGAATGAAAGAAACAATTTTCATGCAATTAGATAATACCCATAATACAATGCAACTATTTTGCGTCAGTTTCCCACTGTATCATTGGTAAGTCATTATCAATGTGACAGTTATGGAAACCATTTCATGCAACCTTCACATCTCCTGGTTATGGTACTTAGTTTTTTATCAATTTAGTAATTTACTTCTGTTCATGGATATATCTCCTGTGTTCCTGGTTATTATTGGGTCATTTTTTCGGAATTCAAACTTTTAGAAACATTGCATGTAATTCAGCATCTCCATTACTATGAGATAAAACCATACAAATATTACTTGAATCATTTTATTCCAGCAATAATTCACTGCGCTGGAAACATATTCATGCACAGTGTTTTAAAACATAGTTTCACTTGACTAATAAAATAGCAGTGGTAGATAGAATAATTATCCTGTGTGTGATTTGTAATGAATTATGTTGAACATCTTGTGAATAAAATTGAACACACAGAATGCATGTAGTTGTGTGTAATAAGTTTGTATTGCAATGCAACGCGACGCGACGCGACGCCACTCCCTAGGTAGTTGGGTATTGCAATGCGACGCGACGCGACTCCCTAGGTAGTTGGGTATTGCAATGCAATGCGACGCGACTCCCTAGGTAGTTGGGTATTGTTACAAGATGGCAGTACTACCAGTGTGAGCCGTTTCATAACTGCAAAACATTTTGATAAACACAATAGCAGCATCAGTTATTACACCTTGAATTGCAAGTAAATCAATTGAATGTACTGATACTTGCCCCCATTGAATGTAAAAAACTTGCTGTAATGAATTATTAAATTCAAGTCATACTAGTCTGTTTCACCATATGGTCACACTTAGCCAGGGAGTTGAATACAGCGACTGAAAAGTTGACCCTGACGAGTCTTTAGCAAGGTTATAAAATTTCAAAAGAACTGCCTTCAAAGTGTCTCATAAAGCGCAACATGTAACCAATCAAGTTGATCAATTGGCGAGCTTTATTACAAGCAAACTATTTTCTGCAGTGTCTCAATTCGGAAACTGCTCGTCTCTGAGCAACCTTATAAGAGTTACCCGAATGGTGACTTTTGTTAATGGCAGATATTTAATGATTTGGCTGCCACTAGCAAACCACCAGTTTTGTCTATGCATAGAGTCAACTGTCATAACAGAACAATGTTTTTGTTAAGGTTCCCAATCCCCCATTTGTATGCTTGGGTCACACTGACAACATGTACGCTTTACCGCTACTGAACCCTGTACTGTAGAAATGACAGTGGGGGGAGGGCAATTGTTGTACTAGTATTAGCAGAACAGAGTGTGGTCTGCCATGTCCCTCTGTTCCTTAGTGAATCAGTGTGTTGCCAAATCTGCATGATAGTATGTCAACTCTAGGTTTGGAGGTAATCAAGTAAGAGTAGCATGAGATGTCAATAAATGTGTAGCAGCTGGTCTCTTTCATATTGGAAAGTTGAGATTTGCATCACCATCCACTCTACCACACTGCCAATCATATTTAGTTGAATACCTAGGGAGATCTCCCAAGAATAGAAATTAAATTCTTGTTCTAAAAATACATCTATTTGACCATTGCATATCAAGCAATCCCATGCTAATATCTCTTATGAGAAGCGGTATCTAAGGCGGTTGCCGACAAACAATAGCCATGGTTAATGTCTGAAGTCTTAGACTCAAAATGCATGCTACTTTCTTGCCTAAAATCATTTATTGGTACATTAATTTTTATGTTTCTAAACATAAAATGGGGTTTTAAATTTGGTCTACGACAACTTTATTTTTGTGTATTTTAACACTAGGCTCCTCATTAGCTTCTCATTTGCATACAGAAATACTGCTGATGTATGAAAAGGAACTTGCTGGGCAGCTTGCATTGCATAAATGTGTATATAAGGCACATTTCTTACAGGCCCGTAGCCAGCACTTTTGAATGGGGGGTTCGAAAACAACAATTATATATTTGATGTGAAATGTGTGAATTTTATAATATTCAAAAAGTGTTTTTGAGCTCTGTTACAGACATTTTTATATTAAATTTTATTGGTAAGATATTTCACATAACATCTTTGAACTATTTTCCCATTTTAGAGAAGGGGTCCTGAGCTATTCCTCACCTACAGACAAACACATCCACACCATTGATCCACTACGGCAAAATGTTATACACAAAAAAGACAAAACTGTACGTATCTTAGCATTATTGTCTGAGTATTTTAAGGTTGAATGCTACTCACGAGTTTTTTCGCTCTTCGCAGATGTTAGCGCACATAAAAGTGACACGATTTCATGTCGTAATCTGTCTACAATTATTCATTTTAGTATTAGTCAATTTTGTATTATGTAATTTTATTTCTGTACAGGGCCTCAGCCTATCGTACAAAATGTAATGGGTAGAAAAGTGCATAGCACGTTTTAAACTCAATACAACATCCATGTAAACATATGGTACTAAGTTAAGCTGAATTCATATTCATCTCGTCGCTTGAAAACTTTTAAAAGATATAGAGCTATTTGATATATGGTGTGGCAGTTTGTGTAGCGACGAAGGGTTGTTGACAAAAGATCAGCCCTTAGATCATTATAAAATGGACATATAAAAACAAAGTGAATTTCATTTTCTACCATGCTAAATTCGAACGTATCACTGCAAAAACTAAAAATGTATTGATCTAACTGTATTTTTGTGTGTCTGCCTAATCAACATTATGTTTATAGCCAAAACAGCGAAAACTTGTCAGTATATATTTTAGTCTATAATTGCTTGCCAATAAATCTCCCAGGTTATAATACTACTTTGATTTTTCCAAAAGTACCCAGCCTGGATGATTGTGAAATTGAGGCATGCCACTATTTTTTATTCTTTGAGTAAATATCTCTAAGAAATTTGCAGTACCTCCAACTTGTTTTCCAAACCAGACAATGCCGAAACCATATTTGAACAGGAGATTTTTATGTGGGTTTCCCAAGCAAGTCTGCCGGTCTTGTCTAATCGTTTAAGCATGATATAACATGTTTTGGGGTTTCAGTAATTTTAACCAATATGAGATACAACGCTTGGAATAACCATAGCACAATGGCAGCCCTCCACATTCGTCTAACATCGCTACATTGTTTCTACAACTATTAATGCTAAGTACCGGGTAGATATCTGCAAAATGTTATCTGTACCCTCTCGATTTACGCACCCCCATATCGCTACCATAAGAAATAGTTGGCACAATTATTGCATCAAACAAATAATGCACTAACCAATGGCATACTACCAATTTTCTTACAGTATGTAAATATATTTGGTTCACTGTAAATCTGTTTTTAGAGGGCGGTAAAATAATATGCATACAGTGGCAGTTTAGCAGCGGTCTCAATAGACTTCAATGAATACAACTCTTTTATGAACCCACTAAAAATATAGTAAATTTTCTGAGACATCAAAGAAAAAACGTGTAAAAAAATATGTTTGCAATTTATGATTCATCGCATAGTTTCAATGCTGAAGCAACACTGTGGGGGTAAATTGTTGGCTGCAAGAAGCTCTTCGACCTATACAAACTTGTGATGATAAATCTTCGGCATTTTTGTAATGATATGTTCAACCCGTAGCTGTACACTATTGTCCAATAACACAGGCTACACGTACTAATACAATAAGTTAACTATATTTGGCTGATACACTTGGAACAAAACAGTATATATGCCATCATTAACTTGAAGAATACAAAACTAATGAACCAAACTAGGAAAGTACAGTGAGGTTTTGTCGTGTCAATCCCGTTCGATTCCCACACTTTACTAACTGAGCGAACATTAGCACAAGACAAAGTGCCCTATTCAGGACCACCCCATCATTCAGAGAGTGACTACCATTACATTATTGTTTCAATGTTTTAATATTTAACATCAGGTGCTTGAACGCGATCTTCATTACACCATCGCGGAAAAACCTAATAAAAGCTTGCCTATTTATAACAACCTGTTTGGGTTGGCTGCTGTTGAGCTGAGACGGCATAACACGATTGACATTCAAAGCTTGCTGTCACCTAAATGCTCATTACATTACTCTGATAGTTACCTCACGGAGTCAAGTGATTTAAACAATGATGATTATTTTAATTAATACTGTTTGTTTTATTATGTTCTAATCTACGATCATAAATCTATTCACTTCCAAAATTTAGGGGGTTCGACCGAACCCCCCCAAACTATGGCCCTGTTACTAGACTGTAATCACGGAACAAGCGCTTGAACTTTCTTGAAATGATCACAATGTATTAATTACTGGGCAAGCTGGAACGGGTAAGACATTCATAATCAGGGAAATCGTAAAGCAGATGAAAGAAAAAAATTGTTGTTGTTACTGCGTCCACCGGGCTTGCAGTTAAGAAACAAACGTTCTGTCCATTCATTCGTTTTGTCTTGGAGATGGTCTATACGAGACTGATAAAATAGTCAACAGGTTTGTTGAAAATCCCATGTTTTTTGAGGCCGAACAACGGATACTCGCCATGAACGTTCTGGTAATTGATGAAATTTCACTCCTGAGTGCAAAACTATAATCATGAAACAAGCGCTTGAGCTATATATATATATATTTTATTTTTTATAAAAAATGTCTAGAACCTTGGATCCCATTTATGTAAACGTGCATCCCTTTTTTCACGTTTTCTTTTTGTGACTTAACCAAAGCCTGGAATTATTCATTCCCTGCGAATGTGGCATTATCTGCTTCATAATATCGTTCAGATCATCGTTATCTTCGTGGGATAATGTCAGGGACTGGGTGGTAAGTGAGACTACCGGTATACCGGTGCCATCTTTTAAACTCGACATGCACAATGTAGTTGTAGCTTGTGTACTATATATATATTTCGTATTTTCTTTTCCAGGTAGATTAACCTTCTGCTGTGACAAGCATCATCATGGTACATGTTGGAGAACATGTTCTTCTACGCAGGAAAGTTTCGTCTTCACTTACAGACCTTAAGTTGGTCTTGTCACTGGAGACAAACTTCTCAATCTTGTCATCTACACTAAACCCCATACATATTGGACTAGAGTATAAACAATGTTGTGATTGCATTCTCATTAAAATCTACCTGTGGCTGAATACCTGTGTTCCCAACATAATCCTTGACACTACAAGAACATGTAATTTGTATTTCTTTTACACTCTTATTACCATCTAGGCACACTCAATGTGGGTTGGGGTATGCGATATTACAGAATAGTTTGGCTGATTACTAATAGAGTTTATCAAAGTGCAAACTTCTCTGCGACTTAAGGTCTTGTATACATACATAAATGTGTTGCTGCCTTTAATTCTGCACTGACCTTTTTCTATCGCAGGTCCAAAGGTCTACCAAAAGCTTGAACAGATATTTGATCTGCTAATGAGAATAGTGAAGCAATTTTTAGTGAAAGTAAATTCCAGCAAAAATAAACTTTTTACTGTAATATATTTAACTTGGATTTGGAA